ATCTTCATTGTTAGTAAGCCACTGTTCCAAGGTTCAAATTTCATTGATATTCTTAGGAATGGGAAGATCGCTTTGAAGAGGATCGTCTGATGATGGAGCGCATCATAGTGCTATTGCGTTACATCTTCGCTATACCTCCAACTGATAGAGATGGAATAGTCAGTCTTTCTTCCTCGTAGTCTGCTCACTTAATTTTCGCAATTTAGAGAACTGCGACAGACTCGAGCAGTCATGACAGACTTATTTCAGCATTTCTAGAGTCTGGGATCGAGCAAGTATGTCATTTGTAAGAATTTTTGGGAAATGACGCAACCAAATTATAGCAACTTTTTTAGGTTTTGATTCATATAGCATCACAGTCAAAAGAGCGCGATTTCCACCTCTCCATTTTAGTCATCTTCGCCATGATCATAAAGGAACACGTAAGCTTTCCATTTTACACTAAGTATCACAAAATATCTTACTTTATAGAACGTGGAAGATGTTGTTGTTGCTGGTCGAGATAGAACAGCTGCTGAGAAAGAGGAAGCAGAAGAAAAATTGCGGGAAGTGGTTGAAGCGGAGAAAGTTCGGCTAGAAGCGCAAAGGAGGAAGATTTTGGCTAGTAGACATTCTCGGTAAGATATTTTATCTACTCCATAACTTTTTAACCCCACTGTTTTATTTGAACTCAGAAAAAAAGAAAATGTCGTTTTGTGATGCAAGGGAGGTTTTTGCCTTGCAAAAAAAAATATTGCAAAACAAATTCTAGCGCAATATAATCATATCATCTACAGTAATATAGTATGTGTCAATTTAAGTGATGAATTGATCAAAGTACCCTATCTTGTACACTTATACTATTTATGCTTTTCACTTTGATTTCAATTGTTATTCAAGATTATTATTGAAAAATCAAATAATTTTGAAGTCTTCAGTCAACTGTACTTAAATGACGTTTTTGGGGTGGCCTTTGTGTGTCTTAAATAAATGCTTGCAAATTGGACTACAATATTCCATCGGAAGCAAGGAATGACTCAGCTTCCGTTCCATTCAAGATATTCACATCGGCGATTGACTGCGCATGGAGTTATAGCCTTTCTGAATCTCTGAGGGAAATTGCTGCTTGCTTGTAAAGGTTGCACATTGGATATTTGTAATAGTTTGCAGGAGAATCATTCGATTCTGCCTCAGCGAGTCTAATGCGAAAAATCCTGGCCACTATATAGATTTGGCATGTACATCAGATTTAAATAACCGCTCTTAAGTCTTATTGCTAGCATGCACAATTTGGAGCATTTGAAATTTCACGTAAAACGAAGAGTGGAAATTCTCATCACCTTTCTTTATCTTTGGTTATTCTTTCAGATTTTCTGGATCGTATGTAGTGAAAGGTCTATCAGCTGTCAACAAAGAAAAAGATATGGTCGTGGTCAAGTAAGTTTGTAAGTGTGTTG